TCCCTCCTGACTCAACACCTCCTTGGCTCGCTTGCTTTGAGGTGCATTTGTACAACACGTGTATCCACTAGAGTACTCAAAAGTCCTACCAAACCAAACCAAACCAAACCACATCCACCACTCTTGAGGCCGACCTCGTTTTCACCTCATGTATCTACTCCGTCCCCTTCAGCTCCGGGTCGGCCATGTTCTACGAACATACATATAATTGCAGATCCTGATCGGGACACAAACATTCCATTCCATTCCATTATTTGAGCCTGGAAGTTTGTTTTTCTACTACTGAGTCCCACTTCCATTTAATATCACGAAGGCAATCACTGTCGCAAACCTCTTCCGGTGCTACCTAGTCGAGGCATTGTTTTACTTTGTTCGGTTCAAACAGTAGGAAATAATCACCAATCTAAGGACTCTTGTTGCTGCCTATGGATGGCCCCATGCTCCATCCATGTTAACTCAGTCATGCGTTCATCAATCTCCGGATGACCGCACCGAGCTGGTGCGTTGTGTGAAGCCATAGACAGGCTCTATGGACGAGTAGTAAGAATCTGTCTCCAATCCAAAGGAAAGTTCTGGTCCAAGCTGCCCCAGGCATCCATCCAGAGAGGAGCCATGCGGTTGCCATGGGAGGAGAAGGAGCCGTCATTAAGTAGATAGTAACACGAGGAGGCATGACGGAGGAAACTTGGCTGCAAGCTGTGGCTTTTTCTTCAGCAGAAGAGGGCCATGGAAGGAAGTCCTCGATAGAAACGGACCAGCTCATGTCCTCATGTGCCGGCTTGTCAGCGAGGGAGTCGGAGGCGTCCTTAGGCGAGAGAAAGCTACGGTAAACGACGACTGGCGGGGCTGAACTGTTGAAAAAGCTCATGACAAAGGAATCCGACCCTACACTCTCGTGCCTCTTTCTAACATTCTCGTACCAGTAGAAAATTTCCACCAGCTCGGGTTGGTACACTGGAGGAAATGACAGACCCAGAGGTTTGGGCGCTTCAAAGCCCAAAGCCCAGCCCGCCCGCCCGCCATATATATTCTTTCGAGCTCTAACAAGTACACGAGTCAGATGGTACACACGCGTGCTCTTCATTTTCTTCGAGAAAAGGCACAGATTCTCATCAGCCTCGCTACTCCAATCTCATTGAAAACCCGGGAAAATATTTTTTCCTATTATCGAGAATGCTACATTGTCAGCCGTCCACACAACATAGCCGGCAGTTCGTCCCTTCTGCTGCAGCCAGTCGTACCTTCAGCCTAAACCCCTAAACCCCCACCCCCCCAAACCCCAGGGCCTCTGCTGCAGTTGGGAGACCTTTTGGCGCTGTATATACTTGATCATACCTCGCCCTCCTCAGCCTCAGGCTGCGCAGTTTCAAGGAAGCTCACCCTTCATCTGCACAAACTTCAAAACCATTGCAAAACGAGCGCTCCATGTCCTTTTACTCCCTCTCTCTCTCTCTCACACACATTCTCAAAGCTCAAGCCAAGGCTCCCTAGTCACACGAGACTCCCTGCACTAAAACGTCCGAGAGTTGGCTCCATTTACGAATGTCGTGGTTTACTTTGACCCCCACTAATAGGACGTCTGGCGGGCTCGAGAGACAGAGTGCCTGACGGCCAGACCATCCATGACTTCCCCCTGTGCAGTCGCAGTCAGTCGCAAGCTGCTGCTGGTGCTGCTGCGTATAGGAGGAGAGCCAGGGCCAGTACAGAGTATTGTACAGCTTGGCCACAAGAAGCACACCTCGCTCGCGACATGAATCTTCATGGCGTATACTGAAATCTCGGCTGGAATGGGCTCTGGAATCACGGACTGACGAGCCAGAGAGGTCCAGAGCCGAAGTTGTTAACTAACATGTAAGATGGCTAACGGTTCGAACATGGCAGCCTTGCCTTGCCCGGCAGAGCTTATCGACCAGGTAACGAAGGCTCATATGAATCTTGAGCTTGAACAGTGCAGTGATTTCAGAAAGAATCAGATCTGGATGTTTGACCACCTGTCAAGCGAGGCTGATTAGTGGTACACTCGATGGCTCGAGTCAAGCTTGTGAGCTCGAATGGATAGACTGGTCAAAATGAACTCGAGCAGAGCTTTGAAATTCTGAGACTGGTACTGACATGACAGAAACAGACCACATGTATGTATGTATGCATGACGCCAAGCCGCTGTCGAGAGCTCGGCATCAAAGCTCGGGCAGAAATCGTGTGAGGTCTAATCGTCGGCATTATCATCTACCGTCAGCTGCTTGCCATAACCATCTATTGGATGTTCGGAATCAATAAATACGTGCCGGACCTACGGCCAACGGAGGCAGGCCAAGATTGATCTTTCCGAGGAAATGTACAACTGGATGCGCAATTGTATGCTGCTCCATCATGCTCCCAATCAGACAGAGGCGGGCACCGCTGGCCTTCGATTTCATGGAGGTTTGGTATGAGACGAGGATATCAAGCAGGGAGGTGTTGGAATGATGATTCAGAATTCTCGATAGTGTGGACCGAACGACCCACATTCTCATCGATTCGTCACGACATGCACTAACAGAACCGAGGCACAGGAAGACCCAGATACCGATACTGTCACAGCCCAACACCAACGGTGCTAAGTCTAGCGCCAAGGCTCCAGGTTCTGTTACCTAGGACTGGTTGTCGACCGGGGGTCAAGGCTGAGGCCCTGAGGAAGACGAGGTACGACAGACACCGTCACATCCTCATTTGGCAATCATATCAGGGATCTGTCTGCTGATTCTGTTGCCGTCCAGCAATTGTATCACTGTAGTGCGTTTGTACAAGCTCCGTCATCTGCCAAATTTCGCCCACGCGCTCGCTGGGCTCGCTGGCACCATTGGATAGCATCACTGGACATGATCACCCCGACATGCTCTTCCTTTTAACCCCCAGCTCCTAAGACCACCGACTTTCCCAGTTCTACAGAGTGCCTGTTATTAAGCTCGGTGCCTCGAGTTCTCGCAAGACGAAGTAAGACATGATTTCCAAAAGCATCGCTTCCGAGATGAAGTCATCATCCCCGTCCGCCGCCCCCGCTGCAAGATCAAAAGGGATCACGACCTTCGACCATGAAAGTTGCATGCTTCCTGACAAATATAATATAATCCTCGAGAGCGACTCATTCGAGCAGAGCCAGGCCGATGGTTTGGTTCGTAGGGGGGATACGAACAAGTTACGCCATCGGTACAATAATGGTGTCAGGTTGAGTATCTCATCTTCAGTAGAGGTTCTAAATCAGCATCTTGACCGCCCGACCCACCTCTAAAAAGCATCTACGAACTATTGTAGGTGGATGTCATTCACCCGTCAGCACTGAGAGCCGTACCCGTTCTGGTCGGGCACTCCTCACTGACTCTCCTGCAAGCATCCAAAGACTGCTTACCGACCTTCAATGAGCTTACCGAAAAGGTTTAAATCCACACAATGATGGCCTGTGAGTTGACCACACACTTATCCATCACATGGAGATTGACCCGATTACTTTTCTATTAATTGCACAAAGAGGTGTAGCCTGGAAGATGACCACGGCTGAGCTGCAGGTATTATGAGCACACCTTTGAGTTTAATGTAACATGAATGGATTCTAAGTGGCACCCGATCCCTCGTGTCTCCACCCTAACATGCACTGCCTTGGCTGCTTACCTACCTCAAACAAGTTATTTTACGAGCTCTGAGAATCACCTCTTCGACGTCCTGTTATCACAATGCCTTACGTATCGCGATCTCTGTATATAGACAATCACAGGGTGATCCTTGACATATCAATCTGCGCCGCTTCACTAAGTCCTTTGACTTCGTGGTGTCACAGGCTGACTACATGCCACAATTTTTGGAGACGGCTGTTTCAGTTCACATATTAGGCGCAAATCGCATCCCTTGGAAATGTTGTCCCTGCTAAACCCTTCCTACAGAGCACGCGAGCCCGTCATTCTTCCGTCTTAAAAGTCTTAAAAGTGATATCACGAAATAAGTCTTCAAACTACCTTCAAGATTGCCACACGCACTTACGTACCAACGCACTTAAGGTCCACGTATGTCGCACATCAAACTGATCTGCAAATTTTAATGACGCCTTGGAGGAAGAATCTCCATATGCTGTGAAAAGTGTTTGATGGGATCCTCTCTTTGGTGCAACTCATTGCCATGGGCGAAATCAGTTCCGAATAGGGGATACCACAGCAAACATAAAGTTCTCATTTCACGGACAGATGAGTCGGTCCAGCCTCACAGGATAGATTCTTGGTGTTTACATTTCTTGCCACACTACGTATATCGACAGTTAGTATTTACTTGCGGTGGCAATAAGTCTAGAGGTGCTGACTTTTCAGCGAGATAGCAACATTCAGGTTGGGATATCGCTGAAATATTGCAAAAAAACTGTTAGCATCAAAACAGGAGGCCTCCTGTCATTCCTCTAAATTGAGCAAATCCAGCAGGATCTTGCCAACAAGAGAATTTGATGCTGACGACAAAATTCCTTCCGGGAACAAGAGATATCTCTGTCTAAAAGGCAATTCACAACTTCATCTGAAAAGGGCGACGTATGCAGATGGTTAGGCCTTGTTACTTGGGAGTCTCCGAGAAACTTCAAGCATATCGAATCGTCGAGGGATGCAATGATTCTTATGCTGGAATAGTTTCAGAAATATGTTCAGCTCATCTATGAGGTGCGAATAAACTTCATACTTCAAGGTCCTGACATGGGCAACATCCCTAGTTGTGTGCAATGTACATTCTACTCTAGAACAACCGAGATTGATATCACCCTTACTTATTTCCAGCCCTGTTGCTAAGATCTAACAAATCAGATAACTACCCTGTGAATCTTATCCTGTTCCTCTCTTCCACAGCTACATGGAACTGTGGAAACAATCAACATATCATGAACCCAGGTAGTTGTCACCCTCAAAAACGGCTTTGCGCGTTAGTACAGAAAATGAGAACAACCTAAAAAGAAAGTGAGAAAAAACAATCGTTATGAGGTCAATCACAGTTTGTAGTGAACAGATGATCAGAATGGATTCCAAAGATTCGTGGAAAAAAGTTTACACGTTATCTTCTGTTGTGTTACAAAGGATTTTGCAGAAGATTTAGTATCCCAGTCGCCTGATGATAACCAATGTGGGTATCAATCTAATATATCCGAGGTGTTATAAAAGTCACAATGAGACTTCATTTATGACGCACCCTTTCTTTCCCGGGCTGCTTTGGCTTTTGCCAACGCAGCTTCTCTCTCAGCCGCTTGTCTAGCCATGCGTTCAGCTCTCTCCTGCCTCTCCCTCTTTTTCTTCTCATCATCAGGTCGCTTCTTTGCATCTGTCTTCTTCTGTACCAAGATCAATGCTTTAGAAAATCAACAATCTTTCTCACAAGAACCGAGTGCTAGTACCTGTTTTAAAAGCAAGGTCATGAAAATTTCTCAGACGTTAAGATATTCTGCATCACAACATTAGAAAAGCCAGAGTGAGAAGCTAACCTCTACAGCCCGTTTTACTTTAGTTGGGACTGAACTTGCCGCTGCGGTGGATGCGACATCTGCTTCACTCCTTAAAGCTTCTGGCTGAGCGGATTGATATGAGTCCACCTCAAGACCGTGCTCAAATGAGTTAATTTTATTTCTTGTTACTTCCGCGGCCTGCGCGTAAAAGCTCACTGAAATAAGATGCTTGCAATGTGGGGTTCTCATAAAAAACCAAGGCAGTCAAAGGCTTCTTGATGAGCAAGAGATTTACTTTCATCTTCCGCCAATGCATCGCCCATGATCGGTCTTTCATGCTCTTGTAGAACTGCTCTTGGCCTCGCAGAAGAACATCCATTTCGGTTTTAGCTCTAGGATCCTTCAATTCGTTTTTGCTCCAGTCGGCTTCACTCAGAGGGTACTTGACGTCGTTCTTCAAACGATAACCAGATAACGCAGATAAGGCGATGAATTGATTCACTTTTCAAGATGTAGCATTAACATACCAAAACTAAGAGATGGTCCAAAAAAGTGCGAATTCAATAAAATCCACTACTCCACTTCAACGTACCATCCACTCAGCAGGCGTTGGTGGCACCGGGAGGTCGTGAACCTCTGCTTGTATTTTCTGCTTAGCAGTATAATATGCAGGGTCCGATATTATGACAGGGTCCGATAATGCTCTCTCAGGATCTTTCGTAAAAAGAACCTGTCGAAGTGAAGAACTCAGTCAGCGATCCTTGCAGATGGCATGATGTTCAAGATAGCTTACTAGAACGTCTGGCTACATATTGAAATAACTTGCCCACGAAGAACAATTAAAGTGGTGTAGACAAGTAAGGTACATCTCCATGTTGACAAGATATCTCGTTTAGATGCCCAAGAAAAAGCAGGAATTTAGACTAGGTTCGCGCAGGAGTACCATCGTCACACGGATTGAGACGCAATCTATGAGACGATCCCGTACAGTTACCAGCACAAATGGATATGATATTCCTCACGTAGAAACGCAAAATAGTGTGTTCACTTTGAAACAGCCTCACACCCTTACAAAAACTACAGTTGCATAAAGATTATAATGTTTATTTTCTAGTACATTTCGGGACGCATGGCATATACTGCACTTACTTCCTGCATATTTTCCCATCCTGGTTCTCTTCTCTCTATTCGCTCTCGCAGGTAATCGTACTCCCTTGCATCCTGGCACATGGTAAGACATAGAATTGAATGGTATCCCCGTTATAGCAGTTCCACTGGAAGGTAGATTCCAATTGCTTTAAATGTACGAGATGCATAGCCTCATTGGAAAATGAAACAGTTGAGCAAACCTGATAATTGTACATCATCTTCTCCTTCACATCTTCATCAAGGGCGATACCTTGTTCGGCCTCCGCTCGTCCATACATGCTAAAAGCCGCCATGGCTGGATCCCTAATTACTTCCCCTTTTCCCTGAGAGAAAGATACAATAGGACCTTCAACAAGACGATAAACATCCTAGTGCATCGGCACATGGGCACGTAGGAATAACAAAGAAACCCGTTCCAGACATCGAGTCTTTACTAAGAAAGAACTATGAATAAAGACCTTCATCCCTAATGAGCGAAGAGATGTAAAAGAGCCACGTCTTCTGGAGATGATGATATTAGGAATGAACCCCCAGGTTCTAGGCAAGAACATGAACTAGATGGCTACACATGAATGAGGAAGCAAAACGTGGTTACTATAAAACTGACCAACTGCAATTACTACTGTCAAGCATGCGATGCCTGCAAGAGTTTCATCCAGGCATCCCATGAATCAAGGTCGGGTAAAAAAAAAGTACAATGAATCCTGTCTAAAGACAAGTAACTGTAACTGGAACAGCATTATTTTGAAATATGGAACAATTGTAGATGTACTAAGCAAAGTAGGCCAATCAATTGGCTTGAAAATGAACACTTGCTCAATAAAAGGCACTTCTCCATCCCTCACCTAAAGAATACTAAGTCACGTGAATAGATGTCGACTGGAGGAGAAACGAAAAAGAAAAGAAAGCTTTTGACACTGACCATGTAAGAGGAACCGATAGCGATGGCCTCCAGAAATAAGACATAGTGAAAAAAAAAATGCTGACACGAAGTTTGACACAACCTGTAGACGGAGAATGAACTGAAGCAGATATGAACTTGAGACAGACAACATGAAACCGCCAACGTTGAATGCAGAGAACAGGGTATGAACGGTCAGAGAATGGGCGAACCAAAATAGCCAGCAATACACACACAGGAAATGAGAAAAACTCGGACGATGAAATGACGAACATACGCTTTTAAGAGCATGACTTGAAAGAGCAGCCACCATCGACAATGCATAGATAAGATAGAACATAATGGGCCGCAAGGGCTTGAAATGCAAGAGACCGAAGCAACCTAATCTTGGTGTTATGTCTCAAAGTTGCTCATAAAATATACTGGATGGAAGGTAACAGATAGACGATGATAGAGGAAGAAATACGTGTCATGCATGAACTGAAGCTGTAAGACGAGGAAAGACAAATGAATGCATCACTACGAAAGGCTTAGGAGCAGAAGACCGGCTTTTGTAGCGACACTGCTGGGAGAACTAAGTGTGGGTATAGAGGAACCAGTGCGACCAGAGTCCATCGACAATATTTGAACGGGAGGCGCTACCAAGCTCAACAACGTAAGCCACAGAACGTAGACGTGGTCCAGTCATAACAACAAAAGGAAGTAAATTTCATGTGTAAGTCGAAGGTTCGGTGCAGTAAGACAAAAGGAATTGCATTGGCCATAGTGTTAGTAATTAACGCGAAGATAAACTTCATATGCTTTACAGCGCCTCGTTGCAGGTACGTGCTGTACCTACTGCTCTGATACGGGCCAGTCAATGACAGCCAATGACGGTCAACAGTCATGTACGTTACAGAATGCAACGATATGTTAACTTAGTCAAATTGTTTCGAGTACCTGACAGTAAATAACTTCTCTGGTCAAGCAAAATTACGGCGATCTAAAGACCTCGAGAAACTTGAAACATTGATTTACAATGGACACAATATATCTAACGTTCCTCAAACTGAGGGAACGTAATGACTTCATGTAAACCAACGGAGAAATATCTCTTCTGTACGATCCCTGCCTACAGAGGAAGCATCGCGCTTTAAGCTGCAGAAAATAGTGGGTGACTGAAGGATCAGCGCCCTGGCTCGGTCGAATTGCAGAAGTAAGAGTGAACCAGTAGCCCACTTACCCACCTAAATGCTGCAACCGGTGACTAGATCAACCAGCGGCCACCATCCAGCAGCCGGCGTTCGACGCACCAATCAATCAGCTATGAAACTGATTGATTTGGTGAAGGAGGTCCATCCTTACAGATCGATCAACTTTGTTCTTGCAGAATAAGTACTGGTTCTACGTCCGGTGCTGGTGACTGAGAAGAAGAGAAGTAGAATCATCGAAACCTAGATCCAAAGATGGTGCTGGTGGAAAGTATCCAGTTGACAAGGAAAAATACTGAATCACCAAATAATTCACTGCCCCACTGAATAGTCCAACGCATAGCGTCAGCATTGGGCTTAGTATCTAGGTTATTCTAACTAGCGAACACTTTTGAATCCACCACGGGATTCATTCAGATCTCGTTAAGTGGGAAAAGATTTACATCAAACCAAGGAGTGTACTAGAGTTTCATCCCCTCCCACACATATACACGTTACTGAAAAGAATCCCATCTAAGTGATCTAATCTTTGAGGGAAATAGAATCCATCCAACTTTCAAAGACAAGTCCTGAAAGATCTACACGGGGTAGTCATTGTGGATGAGGTGGAGGAACTCAGTAAGTTGCTGCACAACTTAGACACTGATCGAGGCCCAAAGATCGCTCCGGCGTCCATATCTTGATCTTTCTAGCTTAGTAAGCTCTTTTTAAAGTAAACATGAAGGTACCCAGGCCGAAATTTCGATTTTAACGGTCAGGGGATCCAAGCAGATGGTTGTAGGGTAGAAGTACATGCATCATTTGCACAAAAGGTTTCGCATATCAATTGCACAATGTTTGATAACTAGGCATCTAAAATTAAATCACAGGACAAAATGTGTGGGAAATGTCAGAATGATAGAGAATAAGACAAAGTAAAATGTCCTTGCAGAAACCACAAGGCTAGTACTTGTGGTCTCTCCGAGGTGCTTTTGTAAGAGTATCTTGTTGTGAAACTGGATGAATCATAAAGTATGTGAAAAACAGAAGGCAAGAAAACTTAAATATCGAACGGTAAGAACAGGAAGAAGCAAGATGTAAGATGTAAGACGGGAAAGACGGAAGAATTACTGAGAACTGAGGTAATATGAGGTCTAATTGCGGCAACTCAAGTTCAACACCACAATCTTATGTATACCTCTGAAAGAGCTTCAATCTAAGCTCAAATTTATCTGTGACCCTAGCAGACAAGACCGTTGCTTCCGACGTAAGATCTAATCCCCGTGTAAAGTCCATGTGAGTCTGAACTACGCTGCATTAACCTAACCTAAATCCAGCAACATAATTAAACAGCAACATAGTTTTGGTGTACAGTTTGAAAGAGTGGTCATCCAAAGGAGTAAACTAATAAAGTCTCCCCTGGAAGTAATTTAGTTCGGTAACCCAACTAGATAATGTACATCATCCTGACAAATCCAGATGATAAGCCTCAATACATCGCTTGAAGACCGTAGTCCCCAAGCCCTGGCTCCGCGGTGCATTTTTCACTAATAGATTTTCACCTACATATCTCTCCGGCAGACGAGTTAAATACCCGATTGATAGAACAACCACGACTATGCAAGTACATATATCCGAATACGTGATGACGAACTTTGTCAAAATATGTGGATATCCACAAAAAATTCACAAACTCTTCCTGCGTATCATAATTGTCATCATACAAAAGGACAAATGTGCTAGACAATCTCGTCATGAGAAGATAACAGGTAGTCCTGTTCTGCAATTGCCTCATTTTGCGTATCAAATTTGGGTAATTGTACATAGACAAATTTGTTGATCTTGGCAAGTGAGATATGCAGTTCAGATAGAATAAGGGTATATTGTTGTACATAAACACCACGACTTCAAAATGAGAATGGCATATTTCCAAACGTGCCTGTGAAGATCAGCCGAAAATGTTAAGATGTCCAAAGTCTAATGCGCCATCTCTATAGGTATGCTCACCACCGGTGATTTTAAGGCATTATCCAGGATCATTACGCAACAACAGTGTGGAAGTTGAGCTCAACTCTTCCTACACAAGAACTCCAATGATTCCCAGCTTTAACTTAGATGCATCAAGCAATAGTTTCAATCCAAGTTGTTGAAAATGCATGGGATGAATCAACAAGGTTGGCAGAAGCGCAGACGAAAAGCTTCAACTCTTGAGCACGATCACAGAAAACCTTCAAATGCGGAAGTGAGGAGATATATGTCACATATGAGAAATCTGAAGCTTATCAGAAACTCGTCAACAGATTGTAACAGATCCAGTGATAAGCTGGATTGTCCGAATATAAATAAATTTCAAAAGACTAAACGGACGGGGGGAAAAACAGCGAACAACTAGACCACACTCTAGAAAAGACCAACCAGTACGTGTACGTGACCTGGCTCGCGAAAATAAGAATGACCATTGAGACAACTCACCGAGACCATCTGAGAGATTGGCATGATCGTAGTAGTTATACAAGTATTCGAATGAAGGTATTGAACACAAGAAGTGCTGGATATATCTTCGGCAGGTTTGGTATCAAGAGAAAGAGGAGACCGCAAATAAAATAAAATAAAACATTTTAGAAGCACTAGATTCGCTTAGCAAGGAGATGAAAGGTTGACAAAAGTCGTTTCCAGTATCGATACCTGTAAAGTTGGGGGCTTCATTTTCCGGTATACATCCCATGATTGCCAAGGTGCATTCATTATCTGCAAAAAATATGTCCAATAAAACAAGATCAGATATTAACAGATGGCAAGTGATGATGTCAACATCGCTCTATACCTACTACTGCTGGTGCTGCTAGACAACACTAAAAAGAGACAGAGTATTAAGAGAAGGCAACAAGAAAAAGAGGAGATAAGGAGTATAAACAGAGTGTCACACATTATCAAAATTGAATTTGGGTTTCCAGGAATCGCCTTCGCAAGTAGAGCACACCATGACACCCTGTAAGCACAATAGAAGAATGCCGCACATAATGAGATACAGGACGGGCATGATCAAACAACCTCTTCAAGCGATTTTGAGCAACAAAACGTAGAGGTGTGGGCTAAGCCTCTCCTCAGTCGTAGGGTAAAAATCATATTATCCGTGACAGGCGCTTTTGAAACAACATTTGATAGGCCAGCATAAACCGTGTTCGTTCGATATAGACCCCTTTCCATTTTGGACGTTGGGTCAGCCCTCGCTCAAGTTTCCTCTAAGATTCGGCGTTGGTTCGAAAGATTACCCCAAGATTACCTATCCGTATTAGTTGCAAATCTCTAAGTTAGGCCCCTACAGAACCTAGCTAGGTACACTTCTTTGTGTAAGAGAATGCTAAAAGCTGTAAGTTACGGTTGTGATTGGATCCTATACTGATCAATTCCAGGTCTGGCTTTCACATGTGTACTGAAACTTTGCCCACTAACCTAAGATATAACACTCGAATACTATATGTAGCATAAGGTACTCCTAAGCGTATTCTTGTACAGCTTCGCAGAGTCAGGCAATGCTCTACCAGTAAGAACAGTAGGTCTTCGCCAATGGGAGAATCAAACTACTCCTTACGGAACTCATTAGCGATACTTCTATTCATATAATTCACGTACTTTTATTTTTACAATAACATGCTAGCAAACGTACTAAATTAAATGACCGATATATATATTCTTTCATACCGTGGCTTCGCAAGCAGGGCAATCTCTGTACGGATACGGCAAGCTCATGCCAATAGAGGCAGGAATATATTCGATATCAGCCCGACCCTCCATGGCAGCTGCAGCAACGCTTCTGCTACTTGCTCTTTCAGAACTTTACAGTTCAAAAGAACAGAAAAGAAAAACCATGAGCACAAAATAGTCGTAATAAGCATAGAAAAAAATAAAAGAAGCACTCTGATAGCTTGCAAACCACCAAGGCCGACAGAGTTCACTAGAATTGAACATAGACTCTATCATGGATGCTGTAAACAAGCGCAATTTCTTTCTCTAAATGTGTAGCTTTCTTGAGAGAAGTGAGGACAGCCAAGAAACTAGAAACTCTGTCAATTCTGGTGAAAAAGAAGAAATTCCCTTACTCCGCAAGTGAGGAATCGTTGATGTTATAGCGAACTTTGCCCGAACCCCGGCACATGGTGCACCGCAAGCCTTCCCAGCCATTGCAGGTGTTACACTCCCTACAGCCAATACGAAGTGTCACAGTTGAGCCACTTATCTCGATTCCACGAAACAGAAAAACTCAATTTCCAGGAAACATTCCTTCATTTGGATAGAATTTAATAGACAAGTACCTCTTGCCAAAAAACTTGCCGCCGAGATCGAAACCCACAGAAGCTACCCCGGCTGCAGCCACAGTCTGCAATTCAATCCAAATTCTATAAACGCATGACTCAAATTGAGGACAAACTTCGTGAAAAGCTGAAGTCACCGGACAAATTCTCTCACCGCAACACCGAGGGAAGCCACGGAAGACACCAATTTCGGCACGCCAAAACCGGTCTTCGCGTGATCTCGGACATCCCACGACAGGTCAAAGGCTGCATCTTTCAAAACCTCGGCCACCATTGCGGCCCTCTTGCGGGCCTCTCCGGCCCATTTGTCCATCGTGCTCGCTAGGCGATGGTGGAACGAATCCTCGGGGCTTCGGCTTCCGTACCTCTCGAGCCAAAGTGCGTGGGCCTTCAATCCATTTCCATGAGCTATCCACGAGTTCAGGCTTCGCCCCTCCTAAAACCTCAGCCTGTTCGCGGATCGTGTTTCTGCTATCCGCTACATTACGGTTCCAATATCCGGCCTAAGTCATGCCGCCCGGTCTTTCGGCCAGAGGGATCTGAATGACTGTTGATCGAAATTCTTCGAAAACATACCGACTGATGTGAGTGGGTGCTGATAACTACTTCTACGCTCTTAGAAGGAATTTGTTTTTTTTTTCCGGTTTTGTAAAATATTTTATTGAATGCTTTGATAATAATCTGAACCTGTTTATTTTTTTAATACACATCAAATGTCTCCATAACTGTTAACATTGCATATCTAACTACATCATTTTCATATATGAACAACAAAATTTTGTTGCGATATAGTTCAGTTCATGTGAGTATTATGACTCTCATCCGAAAGTATGTAATGATTTGTATGTATATCTTATGATTGAAACAAATAATAAAGGACATCTTGCAAACATGAGATCATTCTACATCCTATAGTTTCAAAAATTTGCTAAATATCAGGACATAATTGTGTTTGGACGAATTGCAACGAAATTTTACTTTTTACACTCGATTGGATGATAAATATTTAATCGAATTAAATTCAAGGCCATTCTTCAAAATTGTGATGTTCAAATATTTACTCATCTCTAAACTGATCATATTTGAAAATAAAATTATATTTTCATTATTTAGGTTTCATTGATTCAGTGTCAATTTCTTCATATTATAATTATAATATGACGAAAATAAGTATGACGATAATTCATCTTAAAAATGTGAATCTAACTTTGGCTGAAGTGATCATAAACATACGGAGCATAAGTTCGTTAATAAGTTCACATACATTTTCCAGACATATTTTTATAATAAAAAAAATTTATCTGAAAAAACATGTACATCACTCACTGAACATAGGGAAAGCCTTTTCAAGGTTACTGATATGCATGCGTGAACGGATGTTATATCCAGAAAGAAAAATAAGATATAACCATTAAATAAAATCACCTTAGAAAAAATTATTTGCACCAATGAGATGTAGCTTAGTGACTATGCTACTACACGTTCATATTAATTCCAGCTCATTTAAACTCAGTAAATGAAAAAAAATAGACATAAATATTTAAGGTTGAAAAAATCTGTATGATATTCTACTATAATAAAACTAAAAGAGATAAAATTGTGTGTTTTGGGGGAATTTATACTAGATAATGCATTCATAAAAATCAGACTATACGTAAACTAAAATGCGGGTAGATAACTTTTCCGGAGAATATGTAAAGATAGCAATCAGAAATTATTATATTAAATTAACATTGCATCACAATATTTACAATTCATGATTTTCATAATACTGAATGATTCAATAGCATTATATTGAATTATTCAAATCATTTGATATTTCCAGCCAGAATTTAAAAATTCATGAATGAAAATTGCTGGACAATTTCTTTTCAATTTGTAAGACTTTTATTTTTTTATAGAGGACTTAAGATTTTTGAGTATTTGATTTAAAAGGAAAAATGAAGAACTAATATACTTAATGTACAGGAATGAAGTTATGATGAATTCAGAAGCAATAAAAGAAATCTCCAGATACTTTGTTTTCATGAAAATAATTTCAATACTATTTTTTTAATCAATATTAACGAGTTAGAATTACTTATAAAATTATTGATATAATTTTAATTGATAACTTGCTGATTTAAAATTTTATTTAAGATTTTATTCAATTACATCTTGTAAAATATACAATAATTAAACACAATATAATTTTCCTATTTTCTGTGATTTTTTTAGTTGTATTTTAAAATGAATGTCTTTTTAATCTTCTTATACACAAAATGCAACTTTGAGTTTATCGAATGGACTTTTGGAAATTATGAGATATTGTAGAAACCTTTCTCAACTTTAATTAATAATTTTACATAATAAAAATTTCAAAATTAATTAGTTGAATTACAATCAAATAATATTAAACATTAAGTGATGAAATTCCATTTCAAAATTCAAATTAATAATAAATCATACACATAAATAAATATGATATTTTTAAGAAATAAATTGATTCATGATGTAAGAGTTTTTTAACTAAAGTTTTGTATACTAAATCTAAGATCTTCACAAGTTTTTGATCATAAATTTTATGTTTAATAATTAAGTTTTTTAACAACTATTTTTTTTAAAATTTTTGTTCAAAATTTTATTTTATTGCATAATATATCGTCAAATAGCACTTATTTATAAAAATCTTAATAAAATCATTTTTCAAAATAATCTATCAATACAACAGAAAATTAAATTAACTAATAAAAGTAATAAAAACATGATTATAAAGTACATTTAAAAAATATGTTTGAAAAATATTCAAATAGAATAAAAAAATTGTTTCATTTGAAAAAATTGATTTCAATACTTTAAGTAAACTAGGACCTAAGATATAATAAATTTGAAACAATCTTTTAGTGATTATCAATAAAAAATTTAAATACAATTTTTCAAAATAAATCTAAAATAAAGATATTTATATTAAAACTTTAATGTTTTTAGTTCATCTTCAATAGGAAAAAGGATTATTTTTATCTTAAGAAAATAAACAATAATAATGAGTAAGGATTCAAATTCAAGAAAATTACCTAATATAACTTTGTGTTACACAAGTAATTTACTAGAACACATCATAGACTGTATTATCCCATTGTATCCCACGGACAGCACACGTCACACATACTCTAATATCGATCAACAATCCAAGAGGAATAAGAACCAATAGCGGAAGATGAGGGGAGGCTGCAGATCTCTCAAGCATGTTATAATGTGAGTTTGACGCTTGACGACTCTCAACCTTTTGATCAAGATGAAGAATGAAGTCACTATGTGTGATTTTGATTTGACTTGCACAAGATTAACATCGAAAAGATGATGTATGATGTGAAGACAAGTCTGGATGATTCTCTCGATGGACAAGCGCTGAGCTACATCGGCACTGATGCTTATGATCTTTCTATTGCTTCTACTTGCTTTATCATGGACAAATCAAATTAAGATCCATTGCTCTTCAATCAACTTGACACTATGTTGTTGCATGCTTTGTCTGAATACTACATTCCTCCATTCGCAGTTACATTAACATACTCGAAAGCATAACGTGATTGGTTCGTTATGTAATTGGTGCTCAATAGACGCTTTTTCATATCCACAAAGTCACTCATGAAAATGATATTCAAGATTATTATTATTGATATTGCAATGGCAAAACTTGCAACCAAGTTGAAACTTTCACACAGTACTCTCACATTAAAAACAACATCATAAAGTTACAAGAACATTGTCTAGAACTTGATGTTGTGTGTCGTCGTTGGAGTATCATCGGGTAAAACTAAACATGATGGGTACATGTAAGTTACTTGTGTTATGTTATGGTACACACGGAGTAATTTTCTTGGATAAATTCATTTACAAAATGTTTTTAAAATTTTCATATATTGAGAATAAAAGTTCATATTTCAATGAACATATTTTTAAATTAACACAAATAAATTTAAATTTAGATGCATGCTATATAAGTTTCTTTAAGCATGATTGTGAATACTATATTCAAAAACATATATGTAATCTTGTTCAAAATTTTACTTTTGATTATGATATAATATTATATACCCAAAAAATCAATGATGATGATCATGATGAAGTTATTTCCAGTTTCTATTAAATAATGACATAGGTAAAAGAACTTAAATGAATAAATAATTTCTATTGAAGAATGTTATTTATTTTTTCAAAATAATGGAATATAATTATATAGATTAACGGAAATGTTAAAACGACCACATTGAGACTAGAAAAGCGTCTCGCGGTAACATGAGCTGTCTAAACAGATTATTTTTGCATATGAAACCTGCCATTGCCCTGCAATAATCGGGATGCTTTGCTGTTTGAAATTGTTTAAGGAGTATTATTTGTTCAATCTTAGGCTTAAGAACTCGCTTCACAAATGCGGAAGTGTCGACTTTGCGATCAGATTGGACACAATGCACAAACATGTGAACAAAGTATTGTTTTCTTGCATGAATTTTTGCAATAGTTACAATCAGTAGTTATTAGTCATTATTCTTGAATTGTGTACTTAATACTATCATGTTTGATTGTGTTTTTTGCATATATGCACCAATATGTAACAAAAACATGCTAGGAGATATACTTGACTTGAGTGCAAAAAAATTTGTTTTTGACAGGTGACACGTCTGTGATTGTTTTGTCATTAGATGTGGTCATTTTAACATTTCCGTAGATTTAATGAATTATTTACTCAATTAATATTTTTTTCAAAAAATACACAGAAAATGAATCTAGGATGAGGATTAATGGAATGTATAGCATTATCATAATATTCAAAATTAATATTAGTGTTTAAAAAATACTTGGTTTAATTTATTATTTAAAAATAATTTTAAATTTTTTAGTTATGATAAGCATAGAATATAATAATTAATATTCAAGTTTATTCAAGTTAAATTGAAGAATGAAATATTTCCATATATTTGCAAATATGAGTGATAGAAAAACATTACATGATAATACACTTTGGAACACAAAAAATTTGATGGGATGCAACACAATCTATTTTATCCTATGAGGCTACTCCGACGGCATTATACGCCACCGTCATCCATGTTTAAATACGAGTTCTTGTACTCCGATTACAAGATTTCAAAAACAATAAACTCAAAAATAATTTTTGACAATGTCCACAATGTTATATACTAGTATAGTTCATCAAAAAATGTCAAAAGCTTTGTTAAAAGTAAATTTTTTACTATTAATCTCTATATTACAATCATCACTTTCATGCATAAGTGTATATGTTATAAGAAGTGATAATTGATGAGCAAATAGATATCTTATTATGAATTTTAAAAACTCTGCTAATTCAAGAAATTATTGTTAGTTCTATATATCAAATTTGAATATGTGTGTTGCTAATCACTCATGGATTGAGGAGCTTTTCTGGAACCATTTTTTAACATGTAAAGAAACTGTGAACGTGGCTTTAAGTTTGTGGGCCCCACTTCTTTCGTGTTTTATTTTCTTTGTATTGTGTATATAAGCAAAAGTGTTGTTGTTGTTTTGTACGCCGAGAAAAAATCAAATAGAGAGGAAAAGTGGGTGAGAGAAAGAAAGAGAGAAAATAATCTAGAACAACCAAGGGAGAAAAGTACTTGAGAGAAATTAGAAAGTTGTGGGGGCTTGTAATCTTTGTAATCTCGGATTATTATTTGTTACTGGAACCACTCTCCAAGCAAGAAGTAGTACATTTTGGTCCGAAACTGGGTAAATCTTGTTATTTTGTTCTTTTATTTTTCATCTATCTTATTGTTTGGATTGGAGTCACGTAGGCATATATATATTGTGTTGTGCAAGTATATTCCATTGTCCGTAGGTATCGGGCCCGAACCTATCATACAAAAACTTATGCATTTGGAGATCCAAGGTTTTTGTGTAGATAGTCATCTTTGACGCTTTGTAAGTTATTACTAAGTTACCGCGTTACAAGAACTCCCATTTTCAGTAAGTACCATCCCATGACAGCCATCTACTGATTAGTACTTAGAGATTTTGAGCCTAGATTACTAGAGAAATTTGCTTGATGGATCCCCATCAAAATGCTGATTGCTTGATGGGACCCAATATGTTCTATTTTACCCGATGGTACACTTCTGACGACAGTTCAATACACCGTCACCGATGTTCTACTGTGAGTTCTTGTAATTGCTTCAAATCCGGGTTAGGAAAAGCAATGTGGCTCTTTGTTGAAAAATGACTTCTCCCAGCATGCACTTCAAGAATCAAAATACGCAACTTACGTGACTTCGGCCAATAGTTATAGAAAAAAAAGTAAGGAGTAAGTAGATTACGCCCATACACTATAGCTGTAAAATCATTCTGGTACATGAGAAATTGGTCTCTTGCACGATGAAGATTGGGGGCCATGGCAATTCTGCGTAACTTAAATTCGGGAAAAATTATTTTATTTCATTGAAGTGGAAACAAAGCAGTTACAAGAACATAACGAACGGTGATGCGTCGGGTTACATGAGAAATTGGTCTCTTGCACGATGAAGATTGGGGGCCATGGCAATTCTGCGTAACTTAAATTCGGGAAAAATTATTTTATTTCATTGAAGTGGAAACAAAGCAGTTACAAGAACATAACGAACGGTGATCCGTCGGGTTACAATGAAACGTATTGGTTCCCATCATGCAGTCTGTGTTCTGATGGTACCATCAAGCAAATTTCTCTAGATTACTAGGCGTCTTTACTACTTTGCTTCATAATCGACTGCTAACATACACACCGTGTTTGCACTCCTTATCTTTTCTCTCGTAAATCGGGATTCTGGATTACTGGCCACTACCCGGTAAGTGAGGATTACTTACCTCCTAACGTTCACTCCCTCTTGAAGGGGTGAACATACTCGGTGTTTTCTTCATTAAACTTGGATTCTGTCCTACAACAAATCCTACCTACAAAGGCAGCCATTCTTCCATGGATCAATACACATTAATCCACTAAGAAGAGACACATCCTTAGAATCCTTAGAATAACTTCTTTTCAAAACTATCTCAAAATCCTTCGAAGGAAGGGTGCTAGAGGTTTCGCGAGATATCTGTATTCTGTCCGAAACATGCCTCCAGCTCTGATATTCCATGCAGGTTATATTTAAAGCTTCACCATCAATTAATAGTAGATTGACGGAGACACGACAAGGGAATATGATCCTTGCCACCGTGGCAATGCAACTCATGAGACTAGAGTACAAGCGCCAGGTTCTAAATCCAGCCGTTTGGCGTATGGACCGAGACTGCAACCTCAATGTTGCAAGTCATGTTCTCAAGAAGACTAATGTGACACAACGATTGTGGTCTCTATAACAACGAAGAGAATGTCAACTTTGCTCAATTCAATGTCCACACTGTTTCTTCACCAATTTACTTTATCTACCTCGTTCTTGATACTCAAGTGGGAGGCAATCACTAAATGGGTTCATAAAATTAGAGACTATGTACATTGTCTCAAAACAAAGAAATCGAAGTAACGGTTTACTAGATACTCGGAGTTCCTCATGTGGTCGATTCTTTGGTTCCCCTCCTTTGTGACCAAGTTTGCCTGTCTCTCAAAATTGTGTTATTTATCTAGATGACTAGATTTTTTCGTCAATTTACAGAAGATGAATTCCTACAATGACTTTTAGATTGGAATATTCCTATATTCATTTTCGCGTTGTACAAGGCAAAAATGAATTCATGCCGTTATTCCGGGCCAGCCTCAATTTGGCACATCCTCAGTTTTATATATTAATCATGCTGTACTGAAAAAATAAATCTAAATCAGTTGAGGCACTTTTAAAACCAGATAAAAATCTGGCACATTGCAAAATTCACCAAATAAGACTATCTTTAAACAGGATAATCTCCTCATCCCTCAAGGATGAGAAGTATCTTAACAAATCCAATTTATGGGTTACAGTGGCCACGAGAATAACTGGTAGCCAGGAAGTATGGAAGCTGTATGCGAAGTACATGACTTTGTGTGTTCTCCTGAAAACCCTTCCATATTCAATTTTAATCGCATCCCTTTTCCGAGCAGATCAAATTGGAGGGGATCAAATTGCCCATGCATTCCAGTTTGTCTGTCGTGTTAAAGTATATTTCATGGGTCTGTCAATTTCCTGTAGCATGGTTATACAGTGTTGCAGTCAAAGATGGAAATAGTAGCCTGTAGCACCATGTCACGTACACACAGGTCGCATTGGGGAACGATGGAGAAGGCCGTTGTGAGGAAGAAGAACCTCACGGTAACGTGTGGACAGATTGCTGACAGCGAACAAAATAGATTCCTGATAGTATGCCTTCAAAACTCAACCCACAAGGGACTTGCTGGTCACTTCCGTGGAGGACTGGATTTTCCCTTGCTCTGTTTTGCTCACTGTGAACCAGAAGTGGGCACTTACGAACAGTAGATAACGTGCTTGGACGTCACATCGAGCTTTCTGATGTTCCGGCAAAATCTTCAGGCGTGTAGGCCTGAAGGAGCTGTCTGCCACACGGACTATTCGGTGCAACACGTGATTTAGCCATGTCTAGTTGTATACTCTCTAGAACTAAATAGGACGCGTAAGTCATGATGGAATAGTCCATGGTTACTATCTTCCGTCATTTACATTTGCGAATTGACGAGTATCGTAATTTACGTTACTATGATAGTGTTCTCTTCATCAGAGTTGAGTTTCACGTTCATATCGTAATATTATTTAGTAGAATTTGCATGCATTAATAGAAGCTCATGCTGTCTTCTGAGAACTGGAATCGGCATAACGTTACGTGTATTTATTGTCGCAAAGTTTGTAGACATTGGGTTCAACTCAGATGGTTAACTTTTACCGTGATGTTTTACTATACTCATTTTCCTCTCTCTAAAAACTGCGGACGATACAAAGATTTAAACACAAGATTACGAAGCATATAATGGTGGACGTCACATTGTGACCATGCATTCAGAATGCTCAACTACGGCACTACAGATTTAGAGGTATAATTTTCCGACTGTCATAGACTGACGTTATAACACTCGGGGTGAATCATAAACACATTGCAACGCAGGATACAGTCATTACAACTGAAGAAATCAGCGATTAGAGACAGTAAGACGGAGGAGTGGATGATGAAATATCACATTTTCATTATTAACTTGAATTACAATACATCTCAAGACCGCGATCCCTGAGGGGATTATGAATATACTATAGGATCCATCATTTGACCGTGAGCTAGAAAAGTAGCTCGAGATTTTAGCGTGAGAGAAGGATAAGCCGCAGAACTAAACGTTGTAACCCTTGTTGGCGTTCTCGAATTTCATTGCCTGGACGGCAGCTGCTTCCTCGGACGACATGGCTCCGTTGAACTGCGTCTTCACTTCCTCGGTGCTGTACTGGAATCCCATCTTGTGGGAGTTGAAGAGGGAAGCAACGCCGTGCTTCATCAGTGAAGAGTATCCGTCCTTCCCGGTGACCAGCAGGGCGTCAAGGAGCGTGACATCTCCATAGTGCGCAGTTGCTTCCTTGCCGAAAGCATCACCTACAGTCGAAGACTCAGTGTACATCTCCGGCCACTTCTCGGCGGTTGAAGCCCAGTAGCTGCATATACAGAAAATGCAGCAATGAGAGAACAGGTCAGAAGTTGACGGATCAATGACAAATGCTGTGCATTCAGCTGAAAATCAAACATAGATACAGAACATCAGAACATTGGTGCAGAGAGGTGAAGCTGATCATCCATGTTAAACAGAACTATTCAAGTGAGGTTTCAGAAAGAATAAAACGCCCTGCCCGTATGAAACGATAAATGGATGGAAAAGATGGATAGAGCGTTCCATTCGAGCTACAGCATTCGTGCTGATTTTCATGCAGTTCATGTTAAATCAAATGACAACTGACAGTGCAAAACGTGCTCGAAACCGCCCTTTACCTGGCTGTGCAGCCTGCAGCCCATGGAATGGGTTCTTCGGTGGGAGGATCGACAGGGTATGTTGGGGGATCGACGTAGTAAGGGGGAGAGTCACTGCCGATGGGTGGGATACCACCATCATAGGGAGGAGAACCTCCGTCATAAGGGGGAGATCCACCGTCGTATGGGGGAGATCCACCATCATAAGGAGGAGAACCGCCGTCGTAAGGGGGAGAACCACCATCGTAAGGGGGAGAGCCACCGTCGTAAGGGGGAGAGCCACCTCCATAGGGAGGAGATCCACCATCGTAAGGAGGCGAGCCACCATCATAAGGAGGAGAGCCACCATCGTAAGGGGGAGAGCCACCATCGTAAGGTGGGGAGCCGCCGTCATAGGGAGGAGAGCCTCCATCGTAAGGGGGAGAGCCACCATCGTAAGGCGGGGAACCACCGTCATAGGGAGGAGAGCCACCATCGTAAGGGGGAGATCCTCCATCTACTGGGGGAGTTGGATCGAGAGGAGGACCATCCAAAGGTGGGGAGTCGGGGGGGTATTCAGGAGCAGGGAAGAGCGGTGGCGAGTCCCCGCCGCTGGGAGGAGTGTAGCCTCCTCCGTGTCCAGGGAACCAGTCCCAGTTCTCGGGCTGCTTAGTACTCAATGCTGAAGGTATTCCTGCTGCAATGCACAATGTGCATAGAATCAGAGCTGCTGTCATGTTTCCTCCTCGTCTTCCTGTCATGCTCATGCGCTGCTTCAGAACGGGCTATGCTCGATCTGTTCAGAGCTCGGTTGAGCTCTACTCCTCTCGCTCCGCCTCCTCCGTGCTGCGCTCCTCCGCCGCGACCTGTGAAGATTTGCAGGAGCCTGAAGGGCTTTATGCATGGGAACTGCAGAGGTCAAAGTCGAGAGGAGTGCACACGACAAGACAAGGGCCCACCCGCCATGGGACTCGTTCGAGGGAGCAGAGCAGAACGCTCATGCAGACGGATGGATGGGTCAGTGGTGGGAGATTGCATAGCTCTCGAACAGCTGCATTCCAGCACCGCATTAACTGATAGAACGGTATGAGAATAGGAGGAGAGGGACGTGCTGTCATTACAGAAGGGTAGCTGAGCAATAAATTTCCTACACATCTCTCATAATGACGGCTGTTTTATCCGCTGGTCCTACATGCTGTCTCTGGTTTGCCTCGCAGGCATCGTGAGTGATCCACCCCTAAACCACCCTGTGAAATCATGATTTCCATTGGGAGGTGCCCAGCAGAACGAAATCGGGTCTGATATAGATCGTTCGCCTTCTTATTAGAACCAATTCGACACTAGCTAATATTATGTCCAATATTTTAACTCTCCTACGGACCATCACCTAGAGTCTTTCGCGGGGTTTTCTCATTCAAACAACAAGAAGAAGCTTCGTCTAAACCATAAATTCCCCCTAGGCCTAATACCAGATGAGATACGCTTTTGCCCTACGACCGAATTTCCACAACCACGACCGTGGTCGTCAAGTGTAGACTTCTCAAGTTACGAGAGGCTTTTGTCTCTGCTTTTGTCCCAAACTGGAAGTCTACATTATGACTATATTTCGCTCACAGATTGCGGAAGCTCGAGACAAAAGCCAATCTTCAGACAAACATCCTGCTTTTGGTGGAGGGCATGAAAATTTTAGTACGTGTCCATGCAATACATGACAAACGTAGTGGTTGTAACGCCGAGTAATATGGCTGAAAGGATGGGAATTTTTCAGTTTTGTGCAATACAAGACAAATATAAAGAAAGGCTTGTTACGTCTTGAGCTCTGCAAGGCTACGCGACTTGTATCAATGCGCCCCAACTGCTCTGGTTTGCTTTCCTCACGGACCTCGCTCGAGATCAAGTACTAACCACAGATCTTTTATATTCCACCAGATTCTTGACACCCATCATGTGACAAGTCACGGAATCATCAAGTTTGATGACACAAGTATTATTGATTAATTACCTCACATCCTTTCGGAGTTTCAGTGGAGATCTTCATCAGAGCACACATTTGCAGTTTCACATGGAAGTCTTGAAGGCCCGTAGAAAACTGATGGTCCTTTCTTCCCACACTTCAAGAGTGCAGAAGCTCGTTGACTTCCCATTCAAGAAAAGAAACTTTCCAGGTGCAAGTACATACTCATGACTGCAACAGCAAATTTCCTACAACACTGTTGATTAGACTGGACACGAGAATGAAGGTTATCAATGTCCAGTAACATATGCACAACATGATGCAAGAGACAGAAGATATCAATAATGTCCTCTTGATTGCTCAACTTAATCTGAAACACTGGAACAAATTCAGCGTTGTTTGCTGACTTGGAATATTGGAATTCGAACGAAATGCGCTGGTGCCTGTTCTTGGTAATCTTTGATTGAAACCTGTTGCTAACGTGACGAGCCTAAAGACGTGCGCTAAGTTTTCACTGTTGGCTACGCTGAATTGCATGTGCATGGAAGAATTTCAACAAGTGCCGGAGCAAGAAGCCCCTACTTTGATCCTACACACATGGAGACAAGAAAGTGTCCAAAGAGGCAAAATCCATAATAATCGACGGCTTTTGTCTTTTAGATGTCTTCCCTCCCCACCCCCATCCCCATACCCCACCCCATCACGTGTTATGAAAAGAAAAGATTTGGACTCGGAGATTTATCGTTTGACCTATCCATGTCCTGTATGTGACCAACCGCAAATCCCAGGAAGGGACTACCTCACCACCCGATTCGGAAAGAGAATTGAATCTTGTCATCCATCCTAGTCCTTGAAAATCTCGACTTCAGTGTGTAACGCAGATTTCGGGCAATGGATTGAATACGCGGCGGAAGGATCGGCGCTCCATTTGATGTCCCACAAACTTGTCCACGTGACGAATTCTACCGGTTCTAGAAATTATCGTATCCTGTGCATGGAAAGGAGGCAGCATGTATCCAAGTGAGGCTCCTCTTGATGTAATTCTTTTATCATTGGATCATACGTATCGAGAGCAGTGACATTCCACTTCCTGCGACCTACGAATAATTGATAACACTATGCTCGTAAGATGTCTGGGATCGAAGCCGACGCGAGGGGCTATGGGTCCCCACATTATGTCATGCTACAAAGTGAAAGCGAAAGTTGGTGTATTGTATATGACTATGCAAGTTTCCCTCGGCTCTTTCTCAAATGCGAAGCTTTTTTGTCATTAAATATCCCCAAAATTCTGCTGAACTGGTGCACTGGATTTCACTTTTAGACATTGAAGTTCAGTCTTTCAGGCTTTCCCAATTCATGATCGAAAATAATGGAGATTTGGTAAAGCCGAATTATTTTGTATCATTCACGACTGTACATGCTACTAATCATCAAAGGTTATGAATTAAAAAATATGTAGGATTACAGTTAGTAGTTTAGCTCTTAAGGTGTCACCGGACAAGCTCGCATATTTGGCATTAAAACCGAAAGTAGAATTGGAACCAACAAACTATTCAGTTCTTTCTTTTTTATAATACCGATCATCCTCTATATGGGACAGACTATTTGCCGTATCGGCCAAGAGGAAAGAGTTTTGTTACAACTCATGCCTCTTCATGTGAACCTCACTGGATGACTCTAATTAATGTGCCCCGCTGAGTTCAGGTCGCCGTATTTCTGATCCTTTGATTCCTTCTGCCTGGCAGCATGAGGTGGTTGACTCAGATGAATCGTGGTGATGATGAGCCTTATTATGCAGTGAAGATTCAAGGACGTAATATGTGAGGATTCGAGAGCACACTGGGTCGTTGCTTTCTCAAGCAGAGATGTGGGCAGATAACTTTCCAGAACAAAAATTCTGGACATTCATCTAGATTCATTCATTTTATTTGACTTGTGGAATTTCCATCATATGCAGCATTCCTGCGGCCTGAAACTTACTGTGCAAGCGCATTATGGTCGTATTAAAGGTCCCAACTAGACGATCTACTTGAGCTAGCAAGGTCCCCTTAAAAAAATTAGAATAACTTCCAAACGTGATTGCTTACATGTTAGTTCAGCGTGTGCTGGTTCAGGTTAGCTGTTCCGTTAGTGCATGCAAGCCCTGACACGCTTTTCCTTACCAAACATGGTTGAAAAGCGTAACAACCGATGTCAAATTTCAACGCCGCACCATGCAGATAGTACATGCAGATAAAAGCCTGATATTGCACTTCTGGTGACGCACCATGCTGCTGCTGCTGCTGCGACGATTACTTTATCGGCGACGAGACTATTTTAATGCCTTTGACAAGCTTTCCGTCTACGTTCGGTGCCCCATGTGCTGGATGTAGATCCAGAGGCGATGGTCCTTCCCTTGGAGTGTGTCCAGCGCGACCCAGAACCAAGTTATACGCAGGTGTCCAAATCGGCAGCAGCAATGCACGAAAGTACTGGAGATCCCTCGCCCTCCTCAATCATCCGTTGAAGGAAGGAAGGTCTGGACGAGTACGAACAAACGTATCTTGCTCATGATGGACGGAAGACGAGGACGAGAGGAATTGAAGCATGAGATCAGAGACTTGGAGCGAAAGCAAAGAGAAGTCGCACGACGCAAAGTGGTCATGAAGAGGGCGGAGGGCCTAACTCTTGGAACATAATGTGAGGAGACCGAATTTTCTCTGATTCAGACCGAGAGCTTCACCACGACTCGGACTCGGACGGGGAAAGAGAAGGGCCTCTCAGGAGCTGTAACTGTACCCACAGGCGCAGGACTGTAAAATGGCCAAATCGAGGACGGAGGGAGGATGATGGCCCAGGACAGCAAACGCCAGTCAGAAAAGGATTCTCCAGGACGAGGGCATGAAAGAATCCCCCGGGGCGGCGATACAGATACTTACAACACTTACTACTGCATGAGACTAGCGTGTCCTCAGCTGTTACGTTGTTTCCACACTATAGCGTGAGATACTCGTCGTCGTCCCCAAGCCCTGGAAGAGATGAAATGGCAGCTATTCTGGCCATGGGACGGGAGCCAGGAGGAGGGATGGGGGAGGGGAGGGGAGTAGACGAAGACGACGACGACCAGTGCTACGTCCAGAGCAGAAGGGAGTAATGGAAGGAAGCACATGTTATGGGCTGGCGGGCGGTGCAGGAGGGGCACCATAATGGAGTCGGGGACTGCATGAGATGAGAGGGACCGGGCTGAGGGAGGGGACCCTCGGCTGCTGCAGCATTGGCGCAGCAGAAGCAGAAGCAGAAGCGTACCTTGCCCAGCGGGGAGAGCACTTTGCGCAGGCGAGGTCTGATCGGCTGGCCAGACCGCCAGACACGCACGCAGATACACACACGGTCAACCTCTAGCGCAGGGGTGGTGATGAGGCAGGAGTAATAGCTGGGGCCAGACGGACTCGGTTTCGATTCGAGCGGGGCCATGGGTGATGATTCCATCTGCTCCATCTTCGTTGACGACGAGGATTCGATCATTGGATGTGGCGGAGTCGACACCGTGTGGGCCCCGGCGAGCCTGAGCGGCGAGATCGATGGAGTGCAGATCGCTCGGTGGTCAGGACCTTCGCGCTCGTCCAGTCGAACCGGGGTTATGATGTGAAGTATGTTGTACAAGTCTTCTTAATTGAATGTAGTTATTCTGACGAGAGTCCGAAACTCAAGTTCCAATATTCTTAAACTTTGGATCGAGTACGCGCGAGGGGGTGGTTCACAGTGCCTCGGAGTCAACTGCAAGCTACCACACGTTTTGTGAGCGCTCCCTTAGTGGAATCCATCGCTGGGCGAGCGCATTGTTCATCGAAACAGTGCCAATTTGTGCAGGCGGCCAGTGGGTCACGAAACGAAGCTCGGGCCTCCATCACATTGCGACTTAATGAGACAAGAGCAGCGGTATCTGCAGTTGCTCTCGATTCCTTCGCACTCTGCCGGACTCTTCAGCATCCAAGTCAGTCTGCTCTGTGTACCCTCGCGAGCATGTTACCACATTTAATATTTTGATTTGTCAGGCAACCACCAAATCTCTCAGGACCTTCTATGTTTGGTAGCTCTGGGTCAGTGCCCGGGCTCAGGCTAAAGCTTGCCAACTGCGTGCCCCGTAAGTCCTCCCGAGCTCCCAACCGAGGCCGGCCTCGAGCATTTCAGCTCGAGAAAGCCTTTGATGACCACGTTCCGAGGCTAGGGTTACCAACTCAGGACAAGTACACCGACAAGCTTGCGCTGGAAATCGGCTGACCTGAAGCAATCCCCACTCCCGTACTAAATGAGGGGCTACTTTCACGATCGGAATCATTCCAATTTTTGTGACAATGAGCTCCTCGTCAGTGCTCAGACAGACATCTCAAGATCAGGGCAGGGCTAAAGTGAAGCCAAAGTCTCGCGACGTTCTGCCATGGAGTGCTCTTGGGATGACCTCCGTCGGAGACGAGGCTCACAACTTGCGTGATCGTCGTCCAACAAGCGTCTCGGTTCGCCCTCCTTGAACTCTGGAGCAATACCCACTCCTGTACTAAATGAGTGTCCACTTTAACAATTTGGAATGATTCGTGCACAGTTTCGGGTTTGTCTTGGAAGTTTGAATGCTCGCTATTCTGGCAGGGATATTTGGCAGCCTTGAATTCTGAACTTTGCGAGAAAATCCCAGGCTTCAATCACAAGCAGCCACTAGCAGCAGTCCTGTCTATGTTTCTCATCACATCGTATTATCATTTACCTGTTCGGCTCCGGCCTCCACAAAGTACGTGGGTCCCAACACGGCGGGCGAGCCGAGTGGAGGATAACCATTCGAGGTTTCGGAGCTGGTAAAGGCTCGTCGTAGAGTAGTGTGTAGAGTTTCAGAGGTGGGGTACCGAGCGATCATCGACGAGCTCCTCATCTTGATGCGGGGCGAAAAGGGCAGTGACATTGATCCTCTAGGGGCCCGCTAGAGCCGCGAAACCTCGTTGCTAACCAACCGCTCCAGCTACTTCGAGAGAAAAGCTCGGTGACCCCTAGTGCGCGCCATGGCCGATGCCCGTGGCAGATGATTAAACTCCAACGAGGCGATCGTCCTTGATTACCTACCTTCATCGCCATTGTCGTCCCTCGCTCGCTTGCTGCTCTGCGCCAGACGGTTGTAGTAAGCCCGATCGGTCCCGCCACGATCGCCACACCGCCATTTTCTCGTGTCTCGTGGAATTCAAAATTACTTTCTCCACTAATTTTCTCTACCATCTCCCGATGGCCGTTCTTCCATTAGTGAATCAACCACCTCCAGAACTTAATTGCGCACGATTTCTGGTATCGACAGCAACGCCCGTGAACTGTTCTTCGCATCGCACACTCAGCAATGTTGACGATTTGCAGGGCAAACGTTCGAAGGCAAGATCGAGACGGGCTGCATCGAACGACCGTGCATCGGCCTTTTGGACACGGGGATATTTATTTCTGTACACGCACCGGGGAGTGACTCGGAGAATCGAGATTTAGATCTAATTTTTAATTTGATACATAATGCATGCTTCGCAAGAAATTTATTTTTAAGATGTTTCTTTCAATTTTCGCTACAGTGGTACATATGTATTTCATTCCTATGTATATATAAAATTGATTAAATTTAAGTAATAAATAACCTAATACCATATTATTCATCTTCTACATATGAAACATGCCGCCAATATCAGTGTATTTGAATTGTCAAAAATAAAACTTTATAGATAACATTAACATTAAAATTGTGCCATTTAATAATTATCTTGTGTAACCCAATAACTCCTATATCCATAAGTGAGTTCATCAAAATCATATCAAGAAATCAACACATATTAGAACGTTTACTAAATCTTAAAATTTTTTAAAAAATTTAGTTGCAAATGTAATTGCGTGAAGTAAAATTTCTTTAATATTCCAATAAATTAAGAGTCCTTCTTAATATCATATTGTGTTATGAAATATAATGTTATTGAATTCTGATTAGCATGAAAGTGAAAATAAGTAGTAAGTCGAAATACAGTATAGTTTGTGCCATTCATATACTCGAAATCTTTTAGAAGATTATTAGAATCAACAAATTATAGCACAATATAACTATTGGACTAGACATGTATTAAGATTTTTGATAGAATTTTAAAATTTAAAATTTTCCAATAACATACTCGTCATGAAATAAGACCAAAATTTCAGTAAACTATCATCATTTCTTTATACAGTAATGCCAATGTCGTATGGAGTTCAAGTATGTCAAATCATATAATACTAACTATCAGCTACGAACCCAGCAAATATTGATGAATAAACTTAAAGTTGCAAAGTATGACTAAAGTCATACAAAATAATTCATTTATTATTATTTATTTGAAATAAATTGAAATATTTTTAATGTACTTATTAATTTTAATTTTAATTTTCAAATTAATTTGAGCATCCAAAATCCGTTACACCTCTGTAAATTGAATTAATTATACAAGCATGTGATACATTTAGAAAAATCTTTTTTGGCAAAGTAAAGCTTGACTTTACTTTGAAATATATGTTCATATTCAAAATTATGTAATGATGAATTTTCATTTGAAATGGGACAAAAATCTCATGTATCTGTTATGAAATAATATCTATTTTGGAAAAGCAAATTAGACAAAAAGTATCATATCAAACTCATCAATGCAAAACTGATAACCGTACAATCATGTATGAAGCCAAAAAAATCACAATATGAATTTGATTACATACTCTAGTATGATATCTATATGACCTTACTTAAATATAGTATCGGCAAACTTCATCTACGGTTTTTAGATAACATCGCGTATTGAACTATATTTTAATTAAAAAATCTGTTCTTGAAAAGATATTATTTTCATTTATTTATTTTCAATATTTGACAATTTTGAAATAGATAGTATATGATAGAATATGTATGTATATGATTTGAACTTTGGAAGATAAAACGACGAAAGCATGCCATGTATGAATCTAACTTTTTAAAAGATGAATAAGGTATTCAAAATTTTCATCAAATTTTCGTATGTTGTTTTGTTTGCAGTTTGATGCTTAAATGATTTAATATTATTTTAAAATTTAAAATTTTTTCAATTATACATCTAAGAAGAACTAATACTTTATGTATAAGAATCAACATAACTTTTTTAGAAAAACATACTTTTTCCTTACATGAATGAAAAAAATCTCTTTATAAAAATCTGACGTATTATTCCACACAATTGATTTGGTTTTCTGGATTTGTGGAAGACTTTGAATGAGAAATTTTGGAAACTATGAAAAGTTTACATGAAACCTGTTAGAATTTTTTCTCAGAAATAACATTTATTTGACTGCCTCAAATTTTTTGAATGAATTATCACAGCATTAAAAAATAAAAATTATCAAATTTCTGTTCATTTGATCCAAGAGGTGATAAATTTTATAATAAGCTCAAAATGAAGAGGTGTCATAACTTCAAACTCCATGATATTTCTTCATGGGTTTTAATGATATTTTCAACCTCAATTTAATAAATCCATAGCAAAATTTGTAAAAATATAGCATAAATTTCTTCATTATAGTTTTTATCTATTTTTTACCTAATTAATAGTTAAAGAAATGTTAATTTATCTTTGGAGCAAGAAAATTAAAGTAAAATTATTTAAAAAAAAATTTTACTCTTTTTCAAAATACAAGAAACAGTATCACAGATCTCAAATAGAATTATAAAAGAATACTGAATTAATTTTCGAAATTAATATGATAGTCTTCATATATATATATATATATATATATATATATATTGTTATTTTCAAATGAACAAATATTGTTTGTTGATTCTTTAGCTATTGCATTTAAATAATTACTTATTTGAAAATCTAACCTTGATTAATTGCATTTCATCTCTGTATAACTTAGAAAGAATTTGAGAATTTTATATTCATCAGATGTGATGGATTATTTACATCAAATGATGAGTATTATTTTCTATGATACGATAAACTTGAAAATGATTGAAAAAATGTAATACAGTAAGATAATGTATAAATTATATTTCTATCTATAGGTAAAAAAATATCATTAAATCTAAAAAAGTTTCTAAACATGAATTGTTACAGATATTATGCAAATATGAATGCCAGGATTTGAAAGTTTAATAGTGTTAATTTTGAATCTCAATTCATTGTTAAAAGATTATAAACTGAAATCAAGATTCCAAAAAAGTACGATTTCTTTTTCAGAATTTCAAACAAGTTGCAATTTATCTATAATCAATTTTGAAATTTTTGCAAATTTTTTTCACATATTAAAGATTTTTCTAAAAAATCTGATGAAATTTTAATAAAAAAAGTAACACATTTGAATTAAATTCTTTTCATTTTATAATCAAATTTTTTTATTTGATTAATATGAAAGCTATAAATGATTATGAGACAAAATACTAAAATGAGTTATTACAGTAATTAAATTTTTAATTTGATTTGATTTTAAACTTTTTATCATTTTAAGATTAAATATTGTTCAAACCTTGAAAAGTTGAAAAGATGCATCAACTATCAAAAACCCCATTTTATGATTATTATTTTTTAAGTTAAATAAAAAAACTTATCATCAAGACTAATTTTATGAATAAAAATAGTTTATAAAATCGTAAATTTGAGCTTTCGAAAAAAATAATACAAGAAATCAAAGTGAATATTTTGTGATAAAACATGATTTGAATGTTAATCTTACTTTAAATCATAATGATAAGCATTTTCAAAAATTTCAATCAAGTGAAAATTAGCAAATCAACATACATAAATTAAAACCTCATATATATGATTTATCAACTGTATTTTATAAGGTAAGCTCATTATTGTAAATATTTATCATTAACTCAAATAATAAAAATTTACCAATTTGTATTATTTGATTTTTTATTTTTCTCAAGAATTTTTAAAACATTGTGATTAATATAAATGTCTTGTGAAAATATTTAAATAAAAAAATAATTGAATAAAATTCTGAATGAATTGGAATTCATTAAATTCTATTTTTTTATCAAAATATAAAAAAGAAGAATTTCATATTTAATATTATTGCTAGTTCTTGCAACTTGTACTCAAATGCTAAATATTTGTACTGTGATAAGTTTTATTAATTTTTTTTCCAGAATTTACATTGATATAATAATATGAATTTTATTTCTCAATCTTAATTAGCTCAATCATATTATATATATATATATATATATGTTTGTTTAATAACTGTTTATCACCTAATTCAAAACTAAATATGAAGCATTTGAACTTATCACAATGCACATTGAAAATGTCACTAGTAAAATCCAATTCTACCATAAATGAGTTTGATCAAATTATGATCTTGACTTTTTTTAAGTTATACTATGCAGTATATTAAACTACTAACTTTTATAATATAATTTTCAAATAATTTATGCCTAAAATTTCAAATTTATCTTATTCTATATTGATAATTCAAGTTGAATACATATTAATATTGCTCCTCTTCAAAATGCGTATTGTCAAGTATTGATTTCAAATTCTAAGAGTTAGAAACTAAACAAAATACATATTGTTGTAAATGTCTAAATACAAATTCACACAATTTTTGATTTTTTTTATTTCATAAATATATATATAGCAAAACACAACAATGCAAATGATCATATTTCACTCTCTTTTTGATAAATTGACATCAAATCTTTGTTCACATCATACCTACTAGAAAAATATGACAAAAATTTAGAATAAAGAAGTTATAGTATTATTCATAGCCTTCAAACTGGTCATTTCAGTTTTATTTTAATAAGATCTGCAATTTGTTCAACTTAGCTTTTCAAATGTACATTTCTTTTGAATTCTAATATCAATATATTTTCTTGTTTCATCAAATATTTTCACACCAAATAGAAAATCAAAATTTTTTATTTTCGCAATAAATTTATTATTTAAATCAATAAAAATTTAAAATCAATTCTTTTGAATCAAAAAAATATTAGATGATGAAAAAATTTAATTTAAATTTTAGATTTTTAATTGGTTTTCATGTGAATTAATAATTTTCATTTTAAATTATGATATATTTTGATAGAGATTTTGATAAAAATGATCTACTAATAGTTCTTTGAGAATGTAACATTAGGGTTTAGAGAAAAATTCACTCAAAAATAAAAATTTAAACTCTGAATATGAGAGATATCAACAATGGTTATACTCTTCATTATATAACTCTCACCAACTAGTAGAAGTAAATAACATTTTATTCCCACCATCCATCCCACTCCTAGTGGATCGGTGACGTGGTGGATAACCATGACAAGCATACGGATTGTTGACGTGGCACTCCCTACTAACACATTCAATACTAACAAGCACACGGATTGCTGTTGTGGCAGTTACAACTCATGCTAAAGTATCTATAATAATATTTAGATTAACATCTACTTTAGGTCTAACTAACTAAAGATGGTTACAGAGAGTCATTTTTTATCAATAATTTTATATCAATATCATTTTTTGATGGATGAAAATAGTAAACATTTGATGTAATACATTTTTAATCATACATATGTAAATTTTTTA